CTCTTGGGCATCTTGATCCTTTCAAAGTCTTAGGTCTCTACATACCTCTACACACCATGCTCCCCTAGATCTTCCCATATTTTCTAAAGATGGTGTATATTCAAATATCTTATTTTGGGTTTAATCTGTTAAAACCTCATATGGCGCTTTAAGCACCACCTTAACATCTTTGAGGCTAACTACGCTATCTTACTGTCGGAACTTTAAAAGCTCTAGGAATTTAGCTATTTCTCTGCTTAGGGGTATCATTGTTGTGACGTTGTACTCCAATGATTTTAACCTAATTAATCTTTATCCAACTCTTAATGAAGAGTATCTTTCTTAATTGATCTTTATCTCACTCTTAATGAAGAGTACTTTTATTAATTGATCTTAATATTCTTCCCTTCGAAATATAGCATGAACTTTACTGCCATAATTTCGATAACTATTTAGAAAGCCTATAAATGAGGAGACACTTATAACTTACTTCATTCACATGATTGTGTTATGTGAACATAGTTATTTCTTGATCCATTTAGGAGTACACTTTCCTTAATTCACTTTAAGAATTCAACGAGGTCTTTCATTAGCAGTACTTTTGCAAGCCATGTTTGCATCTTTTTTCTTATCCTTTGGTTAGTATTGACCATGATAATGCATTTGTATTGTGCCACGGTCAATACTAGGACAGCATAAGAGCTACCCAAACTTCTCTTGCTATGCGGGATACAAACATGTGAATCATCACAAAACTTCTTCCGTCATGCAGGATTGACTAGCATAAGTACTATGCCCGAACTTCTCCCCTTGCGGGATACATTATATGAAAACTTAGTCATGACGACTAAAACATTCACTTATACTTCATTTTCTAATTAAATCTTCCCGTTGGTTCTAATTTAATCAGAAAATTAATAAACCAACAAAAAAACTGTCCCGAACTGGCTTGACTCAAGCCTTTTCATTCACATACCCCAGCATTGCAGCCCGTTGGCATGCAGCCGAGTGATCTCGTCTGTTAAAAAATAAAACATACAATATGCTTCTACATCAATTCTACATCACCGTTGGGCAGAAAATAGAATTAATGCATAAAACTCAGAAATTAACTTAAAATCTATATAACTACTCTTCAAAATTAAATTATCCAGTTGGTTCAAATTTAATTGGAAGATAATTCACATCATTACAACGGAAACTTGATAATAAAATACTTCTTTTAATTCAGAAACATTTCTTGGTCCTTATCTACTCTCTGAAAAATTGATCATATTATTGTGAAATTTATCAGAGATTTAAACCTCAAAATTTGAACTCATTATAATATTGCCGTCATCAACGTTGGTCAGAAAATGACAATACCATAATCTGACTTAAACAAAAATGGACTTCTCCTCTAATTAAATTTTCCCGTTGGCTCCAATTTAATTAGAGGATCAGTGTAATCATAATTTACTAAATATAGCTACTCTTCAAATTAAATTCTCCCGTTGGTTTGAATTGAATTAGAAGATAATAAACTTTAAACTTTGCAGCGAAAACTTAAACATGATTGGTGAATTTTACCCACAGGAAAATTCTCTTTGCTAATTTTCTTTGAGCCATTAATGATTTTTCAGGAAATAAACATTTACTAAAAAAAGAAAAAGAAAAAACAGACTCAAACTCTTACTGTCTCTTCGGTCCGAGAGCAGAAGTGGCCCAAGGCCCAACTGCGCAGAGCGCTCTCCCCCGTGCCCAGTCCGCAACCTGGGCCTGGACCGGGATTTCTCATTCCCGCCTAGGCCGAAAGCTGACCCGGTAGCTCTCAGCCATCCGATCAAGATCGACAGCTGAGCTATTTTTTTGCGGGAACAAAACCAGTAGCGGTAGCCGACACCCCAAAACCCTAACTCCATTTCACCTCTCCATTCTCTCTCTCACGCCGCGTCCTCTCTCTCGCGTCGCACAGGCGTTAGCGGCGGCGGCCATGGTGGCCACCGGCGTCGGTGAGGAAGACGACCATCAGAGCAAGTCCAGATCCCCTTCATCCTCTTCCTTTATCTTCCCTTTCCCCTTCTCTTCCTCAGCGCCGCAGTCAAAAACAACCACGACGCGACGGCAGCTCATGGCGGCTGAAGAAAAGGAAGGTGGCGCCGCCGCTATGGGGCCCCTCGCCGACGCGCGCGCTCGCCCAAGGCTGAGCGCGTCGCTGTCGAGCGGCCTTGTAGCGATGCCCTTAACTCCGAAGCCCGAGGCGTAGGGCGTGCGGTGCAGTGGCGTGACCTCCCGGCCGACGGCTTGGGTGGTTCTTCGCGCACGACATCAGAGCAACGCCGGCGGTGGTGACAACGGCAGGTGAGCCCCAGGTTGGCCCCTGTCCCGTCCGTCCGATTTATTGGAGTTAGGGTTAGGGTTATGGTTAAACCCGATTTGCATTCTTTCGATTTGTCCATCTTGTTTCAAAAATCATTCTTCTTCTCTACCCCAACACTCAATCTACACACTAGTTGGCCTGGCTCTGGTACCATTGTTAAACTATTTTAACACCTCTAGGTATAAATCCAGTGGGTGATTAACTTAACTGAAATGAACTTGCTCATCGTTACCTACTGTGAATCCTGTCTGAGTCCCCTCGCGTCGGTGTAGGAGTTGCAGTGGCACCGGTGAGGATGTTGGAGGTGAGGTGCATTGATGGTGACCAACGGCGATGCGAGGTGCCGCGGTCCAGTGGTGGCACTTCCCGACGCTTCAGCACTCCCTTGATCGGTAGGGTTAGAGCAGTAAATGGGGATCGTGGTGAACCTCGTGTCTGCGCCCTGGCCCCCACCTCCCTCTAAATAGTGCTGCACGACAGGGCCCCCCAACCTTGGTTTGGTTGGATGCCCCCAATCAGAGCACTGGATCAAGGCCCGACTCGACCGTTGGGCCGAGTCAGATGAGATCAACACTAACACTAGATTCTAAGCAAATTCTATGTATCCTAGGGGCATTCTAGTTCTCTCCGTACAAATCTAAACAAGAATTCGAATAGGATTTGCCTTCCTAGCCTAGTGGTAACTCTCTTGCTTTTTGTGTGCCTTCCGAGTTCCGAAGTGTCGCTCCTGACAAATACAGTGGGACTTGAGGTGTGCCTTCCCAAGGGGTTGTGATCTCAGATCGGCCGAGGATATCTTAACACACCTCTTTCTGAAGCCAGCGGTGATGCGTCTTTGACTCCACTTCAAAGTCCTTCGGAAGGTGGCTTCACGATGCCACCAACCCACCATTTTGGAAATCCTTTCAAATGAAGCAAGTTGACCTTTTGGGGTTCCAGCACTCAGGGATACGAGTATAACCCTCCAACAGGGTGGACCTATCTTTACATGCCAGGCTAGTATTGATTTCGGCCAACAAGTGAGTCTAGCCATGTACTAAGAGAGTATTGACTTCCTAAACTTTCAAAATTCATTTCAGACGAAAAATAAGTAGTAAGGGCTTGTTTATTTGGCTTCTACTAATCAAAAGCCAGAAGCTGAAACAAGCATCTCAGCTGTTGAGTTGGCTTTTGAAAAACTGGAAAGCTGACTTATGAGGAAACATACTAAGAGTTGAAAAAACATGTTGAGAGCATTTTTCTAGCTTTTGATGGGCTAAAAAGCTAAAATTTTATTACGAAAATCAATAGGAAAAATCCAACAGCCAAAAGCCAAAAGTCACAAAGCCTATGTTTGAGTCAAATGTCCAAAAACTGCAGCTCTAACAACCAGACCCTAAGTAACAATGGAACAAACTATCCCATGTTAAATTTCCTTGGTGAATACTTCAAAAGATATTACTAGTATAGTAGTTATAACATGCATGATAAGCAAAAACTAAGGCTTCATTTTGAAGGCCTTCTCCTCCCAAACTGTTTTCCTCTCTTCCTCTAAAATGAGCTGGAAGCGGCTCGGGTTCTATGGGGGTACCGGCCCCGTTCGTTTCGCTGAAAAAACAAGCCGAAATATTGTTCTGGCTGATTTGTTATGAGAGAAAAACAATGTTCCGGCTGAAAAAACAAGCTGAAAAAGACGGATTATAAGAGAAGCGAACAGGTGGGTTGCCACCTCTGCGAAGATTGTCTTGTCCTCATGTTCTTAATTCATCAAAGATACATAACTCTCCTACAAATTGAGACAGCGAGAGAGCACGCAAAAACTAAAGTGGGCTGATGTGCTGTCGGCCAGGATGTTTTGTTGTGTATAATTTAAAAAAAAAGATATGTCTATGTGACATTCAGTTATTTTTGTGCATGCTATTAACTGAATTTATTCCATATACTTACACCGTCTTCTACCTATATTTACATTAAATTATTACTATATTTACAATGACTTGTTCAGTGTAATTTAATGGACATAGTGGTGTAATTTGAGAATAACACAAATATATGCCAAAATTTTTAGAAAAATTTACAAATTATTTCTATTGATTTCAGATATCAGAGAAATATATATCAAATTGTTCACAAATATCATCAAATTGTTCACAAATTATTCACAAATTTCAGAAAAAATACAAATATACATGTGGGTTGGGCGTACACGATACATACTACGTGTATTCCGCTGGAGCTACACACGGGCGTAGACGCAGGCGTAGACAGACCAACCACGGACGTACGTGCGTGTATTCTGGACGACCGGGACCTGGAACGCTGGAGCACGAGCATGTGGTGGGGACCGGCAGCCCGTCTCGCGCGACCAACTGATGGAGCACCACGACCGTGTGATTCCTGATCTAGCGGCCACAAAATCGCATGTCGCAGGGGGCTAAATCAACCGACTGACTTATAGCAGTTCTGGAAAAAAAAGAGTCACAAACTGAAGATCACTGAAAGATTTTTGGCAGCTATGGTTCAAAAGAAAGTCTCTAACCTGTCTCAAGCTTCAGTAGGGTATTAAGGTTATTCTAACTCTAATTTTGAAAATGGTCCGATGGAGATCAAGAAACTTTATTCTACAACACAAATTATTAGCACCTGCAGATGGGAGAAGTTGACGACTGATGATTAGTAGTAGCTACAGCGGGACGAAAATCACATCCCGGCCGAGCATGAGGACGACGACGGGCGGGGTGCTCATGCCGATGGCGATGACGACGTAGGCGGGCCACCGTGATTTGTGTGATACGGTGATGTAGACTGATGCCATGAGCGAGACGAGCATGCCTAGACCAGCGATCATAGTGAGCCTGTGGCCACACACGAGCTGGTCAATCTTGAACTTGAGGGGATCTTTCCATGCCCAGATGAAGCGGTAGACAACAACAATGGCGCTGCACATGGCGACGGTGTTGGAGATGACGAAGATCTTGAAGGCGGTGTCGTGGCCGTGGATGGCGATGCCGGTCTCCTGGTTATAGCCACCGGGCATGGTGAAGGTGGCGGCGAACGTGACGGTGGCGATGAGGGTGGCCACGAGGATGTAAGTCTCGACGCTGCGCTCGAAGTACTTGTGGCTGGAGGTCCTGCTGTCGCCGGAGAAGGTGACGGGCGGCAGCTGCTGCTTGCGGCACCTAGCGGACTCCTGGCGCTTCAGCTGCTTCTCGAGGTACATCTCATGGGCATCCGTCACGCCGGTGTGCAGCTTCTTCTCGACGAGGCTGCGCGCCGTCTCGCCGTCGTGGTCGCGGATGCAGGGGTCGACGCGGCGGTCTCTGAGCAGCATCAGCGCGGAGTGGACGTGGCTCATCTTGGCGGCGAGGTGCAGAGGCGTGTCGCCGTTTTTGTCGGCGTGGTTGAGCAGCTCCGCGGGACGGACGCGGCGGAGCAGGCACCTGAGCGCGTTCGCCTTGCCGCTGATGACGGAGGCGTGGAAGGCGTTGCGGCCGTTGCCGTCCTCCATCTCGGACACATCGGAGCAGTGCTGGAGCAGCGCCTTGATGACCGCCGTCGAGCCGTACTGTGCGGCGATGTGCAGCGGGTATTGCTGATCCTTGTTGCGGCTGGAGGCCAGCTGCGTCTTCTTGCCGAGCAGCAGCTCCACCACGTGCGAGTTGTTCTTCTGCGCCGCGTAGTGCAGCGCGTTGTTGCCGTTGGGGTCGGTCATGTCCAGCAGCGCCGCGTGCTGCTTCTCCAGCATGATCTCCACAACCTCTACAATGCATCCCATGGAAAATCGCACGTCTCTTTTCATTCATGTGCTCGAAAATTAACAAATCAAATACGGAGTGTTAGCTCACGTTACGTACTGTTGTGTCCGCCGAGCACGGCCTGGTGCAGAGCCGTGCCGCTGACGGCGGCAGATGGCACGTACTCCGCCGGCTCGACCAAGGCAAAATCGAACACCTTGCGGACGACGTCCATCAGCCTGTTCTCTTGTCTGGTTCGTATCGTTGCTGGTTCGTAAAAAAAGTACTGTTGGCTGGTTTGTGTGAGAGAAAAATACTGTTCCGGCTAGAAATTTACGATCGTTTACGACAAGCCACAGCCAAACGAACAGGCTGCGGGACGAGGCCCTCGCGGGCAGCCATGTGCAGCGGGGACTCCATCTTCTCGTTGAGGTCATAGGCGCGGCTGTGGTTGGCGTCCAGCAGCGCCAGCACCACGGCGGTCTTACGGTGCCGCACCGCCTCGTGCAGCGGGTTGTTGCCCTCATTGTTGGTCATCATCAGGGGGCTCTTGAGCAGCGTGTCCTCCAGGTTGGGCTCCTCCAGCCAGGCCCGCGCGATGTTAGATAATTAGGTATTTTTTATGGTCAATTTAATTTAGAAATAAAATATTAGCAGGTTCGTGACGACATATATGTGCATGTGTATATCTCTAACAAACGCTACAGCATGTAAATATGATATACTGATCAATATAGTAAGTACCCAAAGTACTGTAATCACAGAGATAAGAGTGTACCCAGCGGAGGGTCCCATGTCGAGGGCATCGGAGGCTCCATTCGCACCAGACATAGTGCGTTGCTCGAAGTCGTGGACCACAGTCGATGTAGGAAGGTGTTCGCAGTGCAGTCACACGAACGGTCACCTGGAAGAAGACAGCTTCGCAAGTGATCACCAGGAAGAAGACGGGTTCTGCGAGCGATCACTAGGAAGAAGACGTCGGACGAGCAGTCGCGGAATTGCTCCCCAAAAACCTAATCGCCGCACACCCCGTGCAAGGTTCGCAGACGGACGAGGGTTCTGGAGGCACATGCTCTCCCGCTACTCTGTGCGCGCAGAGATACGGGACAGGGAAAGCTAAAGAGCAATTGAGATGTGGTCTCTCGGAAGCGAAGGGGGAGATTTACGGCGGGGAGGAAGAAAGGCAGCGGAGTAACCCAAGAGACGGAGACACGAAGAGACGGTAACTAGCGCAATCAGTTCGCCTCCACTATAAAAGAGAGAAACTCCCGTGATTATGTGGATTAAGTGACAAAACATGGCCACGCCCGCCCGCTCGCTCGCCGCCCGCCTGCCTGCCTTGCCTCACCACGTCCGCCTCGCCATGCCACGCCACACCACGCCCACAGCCTAGCCCGGCTGACGGCGATGGCGGCGGCACGCGCGCGCGTGTGGCACTCATGTGTCTTTTTCTCAGTTTCTCAATTAAGATGGATAATTTCCAACCAAATAAGCTGAGTAAACGTTCAGTTAAAATCCCGTACGGTATTAAACCATACAACGCTTAATGTTACCGACCATAGAGTTTATTTGATTTATTAAATATTATACGGGCTAAGCCCATAATATATCCAACAATCCCCACCAAACTCTAGGGCTTATAACAAAGTAGTCTCAGAACCACATTTTTTTATATACCAGTGTTTCGATGGAGACTGTTAAGTTGAACATCCATCTAGAGCAATAGTTTCACTCAGTCACAACTGAACAATGGACTAGGCCTTAAATTGCCAGTTTTGTGTGAGGTGAATGTCACTGAATTCCTTAGCTGATACTTAGCTGCAAAAGGCATCCCCTCTATTTAAAGCATATAAGTCATACTCCAGTACCTTTCACGAGTATTTAGAGATCACCTAAATCTCATAGACTGTGACCAGTAGTCTGACTCATATAGGTGTGTTCCTCAAAAGATATTCTGTAGGACAACATCTTTGCTTTAGCAAGCCACTTGGAACACATCAAGGTAAAAACCAACCTGTCTTACAGAAAGGAAAGATATGCATCAGAAATGAGTCTTACTAAGGATCTTTCCTCACAATTTACTAATACCTTGATTCACCATCCTACTTCACGGGATCTCCGATCACATAGAACAGGTTACCACTATAGTAAATTTTATGTAGGTCTCAAACCCATCTCTTTCGATGCACTTTCTATCACATTACGTGACAGACCCTTAGTGAACTGATCTATCAGATTGTTAGACGTGTGAACATAGTCCAACGCTATTACTCCGGAGTTTCTCAATTTTCTAACAGATTTTAGTCGTCTCTTAACATGCCTTGTAGACTTCATGTTATCCTTAGAACTGTTAACCTTCGTAATCACAGTCTGGTTATCGTAGTTCATAGAAATAGCCGGTATGAGTTTTTCAATAACCGGTAAATTCATAAGGAGATCACGAAGCCACTCGGCCTCAGAGCCAGCGGTGTCTAATGCTGTGAATTCTGCTTCTATTGTAGACTTTGTTAAGATAGTCTGCTTGCAAGACTTCTAGGAAACAGCACCATCTCCAAGCGAAAACACATATCCACTTGTGACATAAAGCCCATCAGCATCAGAGATCCAGTTGGCATCACAATAGCCTTCCAGCACCTTCGGGTGTCCGGTATAATAAAATACCATAGCTCATAGTGCCTTTTAGATAGCGCATCACTCTCTCAAGAGCACACCAGTGATCATCTTCCGAGTTTGACACAAACCGGCTCAGCTTGCACACAGCAAATGAGATGTCAGGCCTTGTTGCACTAGCAAGATACATGAGCGAACCAATGATCTTGGAATATCTCAACTGATCCCTTGTTATTCTCTGATTTTTCCTCAAAAGCACACTCAGGTCATAAGGTGTAGGAGCAGGTTCACAGTCACTAAACCCAAAGCGACTCAGCACATTTTCCATATAGTGGGATTGTAATAGAGTTACCCCACCATCACCTTCTCTCAGAAGCTTGATATTAAGAATAACATCAGCCTCTTCCAAATCTTTCATTTTAAAATTATTAGATAAAAATTCCTTCACCTCCTCAATCACTTTGAGGCTGGATCCAAAGATCAGTATGTCATCAATATATAAGCACAAAATAACTCCTTCATCCCCATCATACCGATAGTGCACACATTTGTCAGCTTCATTCACAACAAAGCCAGCAGATGTTAGAGTTTTGTCAAACTTCTCATGCCACTGTTTAGGAGCTTGTTTTAGGCCATATAATGACTTTAATAATTTACACACCTTGCCTTCTTGACCATTTGCTACAAACCCATTCGGCTGATCCATATAGATCTCCTCCTCTAACTCTCTATTTAGGAAAGCTGTCTTGACGTCCATTTGATGAACGATAAGACCATAGGAGGCTGCCAGGGAAAGCAAAACTCGAATTGTAGTCAATCGGGCAACCGGTGAATAAGTATCAAAGAAATCATCACCTTTCTTTTGAGTATAACCCTTGGCTATAAGTCTTGTCTTGTACCTCTCGATAAGTACCATCAGACCTAAGCTTTTTCCTGAACACCCATTTGCACCCTATAGGCTTACACACATAGGGACGATCAACTATTTTCCAAGTTCCATTAGACATAATAGAATCCAGCTCACTCCGTACTGCTTCCTTCCATAAGTCAGCATCAGAAGAGGAATATGCCTCTTGAATGGTCGTTGGTGTGTCATCCATAAGGTACACAATATAGTCATCACCAAAAGACTTTGCAGTCCTCTATCTCTTACTTTTTCTAGTGACTATAGTGTCATCCTCCTCAGGATTTTTCATATAGGGTTTCTCAATTTGTTCTATCGGAGTAAAATTTTCATGCTCATGGGGAATTATAAATTCATAACCAGTCGTGTTAGGTGCATTTTTCATGGAAAATTCATTCTCAAAAAATGTTGCGTCTCTAGATTCTATGATTGTATCAACAGCCATCTCAGGAACACTAGAATTTATAATTAAAAATCTATAACCCACGCTGTGAATAGCATAACCAAGAAAAACACAATCAATGGTCTTTGGTCCAAGCTTTCGTTTTTTGTTTATTGTCACATTCACCTTTGCCAAACAACCCCAAGTTCACAGGTAAGAGAGATTTAATCTCTTCTTCTCCCATTCCTCGAATGATGTAATTTCTTTGTTCTTTGTGGGCACCCTATTCAGGACATGACACACTGTCAATATAGCCTCACCCTACCATTCCTTAGATAGCCCCGCAGTCTCTAACATGGCATTAACCAAATCAGTTAGAGTGCAGTTCTTTCTCTCTGCAATCCCATTGGACTATGGTGAATATGGTGGCGTCCTCTCATGAATAATTCTGTGCACCGCGTAAAACTCAGAAAAATCATTTGAGAAATATTCTCCCCCGCGATCGGACCGCAAAAGCTTGATTTTCTTCTCAAGTTGATTTTCTACCTCAGCTTTATAGACTTTAAAATAATGCAATGCTTCATCTTTAGTTTTTAATAAATACACGTAGCAAAATCTAGTACAATCATCTATAAATGTCATGAAGTATCGTTTACCGCCTTTAGTCAATTCGCCATTCATTTCACATAAATCAGAATGAACGAGTTCTAATGATGCCAAGTTCCTCACCTCAGCAGCCTTGTGAGGCTTGAGCGGTTGCTTCGATTGCACACACACCTGGCACTTAGAATCTTTGACTAAGTTAAATTTTGGGATTAAATTTAGATTTACAAGCCGCGTGAGACAACGAAAATTAATGTGACAAAGTCATGAATGCCATATATTTGACTCATCCAAAACATTAACATTGTTCACTACTTTATTACACACATCATCAAGCAGAACCGACCAATTTATAAGAATACAAGTACAATGGCAATCCGCAAGCGGTCGCACTGTCATACTTGAACCCATATAAACCCGGTAGTCCGTCGAGTACCACGACGGGTCTCGATAAACGATTTACAACAACCAAGATCGTACAGGATTCAACATACATGCCACATATTACATAAAGTTCATGAGATACTTTTCATCATCGAGTACTGAATAAAAGTTATTACAAACCGAGTTTGATAAATAAAGCGGAAGCAAATAAGTTCAAGATAAAGTTTCCAACATAGTTTGATACAAGTGCCAAGCTAGATCACGGTCCACAAAAGCAAGGATAGGAATTATTAAAGAAGCACGCCCAAGGCTTACTCCTCATCCACAATGGGATAGAAGCAACTCTTGCAAT